CGATAAAATTATATTTAGAAAAACACTTCAAACTTAATAATTTATAAACACGGAAAAAATAATTTATTTTGTATCGTGAGAAGGAAACAAAAAAAAACTCCGGGTTTACAAGTAAATAGATATGAGTTTTGTTTTCTATTTGAACTTTTAAAGTGTTTTTGTATAAATCATGAGGTGTTTTTTCTTATTTACTAACCTTGTCAATATGGGACTAAAAATATAATGATGTTTTTGAGTCTTTAATTGATATGTATAAGTAATAAATGGGTACTAAATTAAACTTTTTGATGACATGTCATATGATTTGCAAATTTGGTATAAAAATTTGGTCAACGCATGACTCTTTGTTGAATAGTAGACTTGAATTTGAACAAATGTTTACAAATAACAACCTACATAGGTACTAGCTGCTAATTAAAAATAAATTAACCAAACAAAAATTTGTAAAAATTGAAAATAATAAACATGCACTTAGCATTTTGAACTTAGGAGCTCTCGTTAATTTTAAACAACAAAAACCATTGATTCTAATTAAACTTCTTGATCATTTAGTCGAATTTTATATATTTATACTCTTATGATGAAAAGAAATTTGTAAAAAGTAAAAAATAAATAAGCACACATGTTGTTTTGAACTCAAGACCTCCTCATTAATTTCAAACAACAAAACCATCAATTCTAGTTCAATTTCTTTGTCATTGAACCAAGTTTTATAAATTTATATTCTTATGAAAACATATATAAATATGCCGCACTAATAATTTTGATGCCCTCAATTATTTTGGGCCCCGAACGGTCGCCTTGCTAGCATTGGGCCTGGGCTAGCCCTGGATGGTGACTTGAAATTTTCCACACATGATTGGAGAAAGCTGCATGCATCCGTGTTATTTCTACACACATGTTGGTTCACGGAATTAGATCCCATCTGGATCCACTTTGGATCCTCATATCTTAGTCATTCATCGTGTATCGTGCGGTCAGAAATCATTTGACTTTTTTTATTTAAAATTAAACACAAATAGTATCTAATGAAAACTAACCGCATGATGTACGATGAACGGTTAGGATGGGATCCCCACAAAGTGGATCCAGAGAGGATCCTCTTTCTTCGGTTCACATTTTTTTGGTGAGGCTCACACACTTCAACAATCTGAACCGTTTATTTTTCAAATTGCACCTTATAAATCATTCGTACTAAATATTAGCCAAATCGTAAATATTTAAGATATCTAGCTAATTGACTTCAAACAACTTGACGAATAGTATGTTCTAAAAAACATTAAAATTGTATCGTAACAACTAAATGAACAAATAATTTCGAATTAAATGAATTTTTGTAAAAATATTCTATAAATAGAGACTTAAAAAAATAAATCGATGTTTTTGATGCAATTATGAGTTCCAAACTCCATAGCCTCGAAGCTGAATTGTTTGCGATTGAATAAGTGGATTCCATTAGGTATAGCAAAGTGTATCTTATGCAGCCGTGTGAATAGCGCGGTTTTTGACTTATATTATATCATATGTTAATCAATCTTTACTTAACATGTTTAATTAATTTTTCAAATGATTTGACACAATAAAACCTATGAAAATGGTAGATCTAACAATTTCTTACACGATTTGTTAACACGACACGACAATAACGGATTTTAGGTCAACACGATAACTAATTGGGTCATAATCGGATAACAAGCTAAGAATCGCTAATAATGGGTTTCCACGCAGGTAACCCATTTCAACCTGTTAAGAAAAATGTTAGTTCGATAATTATAAACTACTACAATCCAGTGGTATTTCTCTTCACTTGTAAGAGAGGTCTTAGGTTGTCTTAGGTTTGATTCTCGCCAAAGACGAGTTTAAACCACATTATTGCTAACTCATTGTGAGGCTAAGCCCACCTCCTCTACCATGTAGACAATATCGTTTGTTCCAAAGAAACAAAAAATATACAAACTAGCCATTACGTGAGATTAAAAATTTCCAAAGCACATTAAAAATACAAAGCAATTTAAAACCGAAGCACATTATAAAATTTACAATAATTCATTTACAAGTGTGAAAAAGTATGCAAACATTCGTGATCACATCCTCTATGCTTTGACAATAGGTATATCGTCGTTTGAATTTTTAAAACACTACAAACCCTCATGAATTGTGTTTGTAAGGGAGCTCAAAATAAATAAAAATTCATAATAATTAATGTACAAGTTAAAAAAATGTGAAAGAATATACAAACGCTTATGATTGCACCCTCTACACTTAGATAATGGTTACGTCATTGTTTAGATTTTTAAAGCCTTCCAAACCCTCATGAATAGTTTTTTGTTTGACTGTAAAATTAATAATAATTAATATAGAAGTGTGAAAAATGTAAACAAAAAAATATAAATCACTCGTAATGACAAACCTTATAACTTTCGTGAAGAGCTCAACTCTAAAATCTGACACCATAACAGATAAACCCTAGATTTATATTTAATCGTGGATTGTCATTTACACCCTATTCTTCTCACCAAATTTGGGTTTTCAAATTTTCTTTTTTGAAAACATGATCTTTTTGCGGATGTAGAAAAATGAACAGTTCGGATCGCTGATATCACGTTCCGATATTTACGCTTAACTAAAATATGAGTTGATATTATGTAGTTTCTAGAAAGTTTATAAACTTCTAGCAATATTTTCACTAACCGTTGGGCCTACTGTGTCTTCAATTATGAGTATGAATATCCAAATCCCTCATGTAATGAGATTGATACAATGAGGAAATATTTTCAATCCTATTTTGCAGTGATAGCCATATTTAAACTAGGTCAACTGAAGGGTCATGGGCTAGCTGCTTCATATGCATGATGCATCTACCCATGGTATTTATTCGGTCAACCCTGATCTAGATTTATCGAGAGAATATAAGGCCATCTCCAAACGAAAGTTCTAAATATAGCTCCGTCCAGAATTATAACCTGCAAAATATTATTTTTAAATGAACAGTGTCAAACCATACTCATATATCATCTCCAACCAAAGGGGCTATATTTACTAATTTTAAGTTTATACTTTAAATTTATGGTTAATTTAATTAAACTACATTTGAATGTTTTCAAATCTAACCGTTGAATTTGAATCAATTATTGCAACTGAGGATTTGGGCCCCAGAAAAAAGGGCCAAGAGGGGGCTAAATTTGGCTAGTCTGATGCCTATTTGGCCAAATAATGGTCTGGTACTTCATAGAATTATAGCCCAGTCTTCAATTACAAATGAGTTTTTGGATAAATCAGGCTATTTTTTGGCTCTTAGACTTTTAGCCCCTTTCATTAGAGATTGCCTAATTGAGAGATTGGCAAACTATTTGATTGATCATCAACATAACTAAACTTAGCATTAAACGTACAAACTCATAAACCATTTTTACTTCCTCTATTGATATTCACTTTAATAGTGTAGAAATATTGTTGTAAAATGAATCAAAGAATGTAATTGTTATGTTTGAAATTAACAGTTCGCATGACCTTGTCTTTTTAGTCCTTGTAGATTTGATCAAGTTGATTTTCTTATTCATAATTACAGTACCAACATTAGATCACTTGCTTCAGCATAGAAACTGAAATCTTGTCATTTGTTTGCGATGAGAAGATTGCTTTACTTCGGAAAAAGAATAGAAAATATTGTATTTGCTTAGAAAATATTCTATTTGAAAACTTGTCATACATTACTTGGCAGCTAAGTTTTAATAATGCTATTTGAATGTTTTCGGGCCTAGTATATATAAAAAGTTGAGAGTGAATCTCATATTGGAAAAAGAATAGACATTGTATCTACTTATAAAGATTTGCGCTACTCTCCACCATATTAACAATTACTTTTATGATGCAACCTCAACTTCTATCATAAAATAACCGAGATCCCCTTGTTAGCAAATGTGAATTGCTATAATTAAAAATGGTGGAGTACATTGAGAGTGAATTTTACATTGATTAAAGGAGTGATGTCCTTATATAAACTTATAAGTAAGTTGAACTACTTTCCATATTGCCAATTAGTTTTATAATAGGCCCTCAACTTTCTTCGTTACTAAAAGTCATTATTTTGGTTCTCCACATTCTAATCCATAAAAAATCTCATCCTTTACGTATTGCAATGCACATTTATATTTTCCATGACATACAATCCGCTAGTTTTTTTTTTTTTGTGTTTGTTAAATTTAATCATGTGCACTACTTCATGTGACCTAATTTTTCTCTCTTGGGGACATTCAGAGCATATTTAATGGAAGATGCAAAATTATTCGAAATGAGCATTTAAATTTAATTTTTTTTCCAAAAAACGTAAGCAAAATGTATTTACGTCTTTATTTTTAAGGGGGCTCCGCTAGTTTAAGAGAGAAAAAGAAATTGAAATCTCTACATTTTTATCTTTGTATTAAAGATACTCTTACGGTCGTTCGGTTGGTTTTGTATATAAATATTTGTATTTAATTCACAACTAATGAACCTAATGAATGAAGATAATGGTGGGTATACTGTCTGCATATGAAAACATGAAAACGATAACGCGTTCTAGTCAAAACAACTATTCAAATGACGCGTACATAAAATAAAAACAATTTTATATGTGGTCGTCAATAGTAGCCTGGTCTTTGCGGACTATTCGCTGCATAACTTTCCAATAAACAAACTTTTCCAACAAGAAAAAGTGCCATATATGGTTGGAAACAGAGGAGTGGGGGTCAGCTTTAAAAGGCGGCCTAAACTTTCAATTTTTTTCAAATTAATATCTCAGCCTTAAATTGTTAACTATTTAATATTTTAGGTAGTAATGCGAAAATTTTGAAAGATGGAGTCCCTTTTTGAAAGTGACCCAACCTTTTTTGGTGTACTATGTATTTAACTGTAATTTGATTTCCTCTGGTTTTTTCGGTGTCTTCCTTTTTTATTTTTTTTTATTTTTTTGGAAGAACTTTTTGGTGTCTTTTTCCAAGGGCAAGTTAGGTAGAACATGACTTCTGTTCAAGTCCATGCAGGTCCTACGTACTCCCTCCCATCTTTCTGTTTGCTTTGCCTTTAAAACACTCATCTGATTTTCTTCTTCAGATGCCAAAGTTTGTTAAGAAAATAATGATGAATATGTTCTTCCCTCGACTTCTTCTTCATTCTCTTTTGGTGGTTTGCTTTGCAGCCCTTGCTTTCGGAGCTGCTCGATTGCCACAAGATGAAGGTAAGTTGTACATTTAACCTTAATATATATTTAATTACATGTCAAATTAGGTTGCCACAAGATGCGAATTTAATACCAAATTAGGTTGCTTATTGTGTGGCTTAACAGAATTCCCTCATCCCTTTAGGGTAAAATATATCATTGTACTAAAAAAAAATTGGTTCTTCCTTGTTAATCACCTTAATTTGTTTCATACTATAACTTTATAAACTTATTAATGGATAAAAACTTAAAATAATATATCAGTTTGGATTCATGATTCACATTTCTTGTTTACATATTAATTTTTTTTTCTATATATGGTGTAACATCTATAGTACTAATTGCACAAATATGTATATTTTGACTATATATATGCTCCATTTTATTCTTTGTAGTGCAAGCTTTAGCTGACATAGCAAAGACACTAGGGAAGACGGGCTGGGATTTCAGCGTAGATCCATGCAGCGGCCAACTTCCATGGACTAATATATCGGCAGTCAAACAATTTGAGAGTGCCGTCACCTGTAATTGCTCCTTTGACGACTCCACTGTCTGCCATGTTACCAGCATGTAAACCACTCTCTCTTTCTCTCTCTCTCTCTGATTATTTTTAAAAGATTACTCAAATTATTTGTAAATGATTACCTAAATCAAAAATCATATAATCATTAGATTAAGAGTGCTGATAGATCCATATCATTGTCCTATTTCTACACCTACAGTGTAATTTCACATATCATAAAAAAATTTAAAAAATTAAAACCGGCATGCTTCCTTAATTGCCACTACCCTAGTGCCCGCACTAGAATGGTAGAATCTCCTCCCATCTCCCATCAAATACCAAAGGGAGAATGGGGTGGTGTTTGTGGCTGGGGAGGGTGACAGATGATTGGGGACTTGATAGTCGTCAACCCATCGTGGATGATTTGGGAGGGTGATGGATTTATTTTTATTTTTGTTAGTTTTAGTTTTTCTTTATTCTCTTTTAGTTTGTTTAATTAAAATTATAACAAATATATAAATATGGAATTAAAAGCTTTTGCTAAAAGGATAAATATGTGATTAGCATTTTCATTAAAAGGTTGGTGGGAAAATAAGCAAATGTGATGGTTTTAGTAGCATTCTAGATTAAATGACGGTCAATTTCTTACTTTTTGGAAGCACCTTATATTTTGTCGTCAAATTAAATTATATACCTTAAAGCATCCCCAAAAGGAGATCAAATTTTAGACATAAAATTTAAATTTGAAAGCTTACGTGGCACTTTTATCGTATTTAAAGTTTTGTTCTCTATCAGATATTTCAATTTAAACTATTATTTATTACATTATTTATTGTCAACAATTGTAACGGAATTGAAGTTGTTGTCAAATTTGAAAGTAACCACCTTTGCTGCAAATCAACGTCAAGTTAGATAAGAATTGACATTTCAGTTGGAAAACATAAGTATTGTCCTTGCATTTTTTTTTTTTTTTTTGTTATTTTCTGATATGGACTTTTTGACATCTATTTGGGAGATGTTTAGTGATTTCAAACTTATTTAGTGTTTTGCAAGGATAACTTACGAATGAAGATTTTAGGCTTAAATGTTAAATGGTCCATGTTTTAACCAATCAATCGATTTAGTTCCCGTGTTTTCAGTTAAGCCAAATTAGTTCATGTGTTTTCAATTTAGGCAAATTAGTCCATGTGTTTATATTTATTTGCTAATTCAAGATAATTTTTTAAATGATGGTTACAAAGAACATGGGCCTAACTTCATCAGATGAGACATCACGTAGCCTTCCCAAAATTGAAAGCCCTTCTTAATCGAGCGACTTCGACAGCCTTTGAATCTTACACCCGCTCCGCTCGGAGATAGAAAAGTCTACTGAAAAGTCCATTAGACAATTTCTAGAAGAAGCTGATATGCAATCCCAAGAAACAAATATCCCATCGATGCTTTTCTTACAACCCATAACATATAATTAATTACTTACTGTATATTAAATATGCAAACCAGAGAGTCGATCAGCATCTCTGATCGCCGCTGCTTGGGGACATCTCTTATATTTTGGGAGTCCTGGTGCAATTTAATGAAAAGGTCATACATATAAAAAATGATTTTTTGAACAATATATTCATACAAAATTCAACAATTAATATTTGAACTTAATTGAAATCAGTATTTCATTTTTACTAATTGAATAATCTTCAATTTTTATAAAATTATGATTTAGGGTTCATCCATGAAAAAATGGAGCACGATTGAAAGAGAGATACATAAATGCACCTGTGTTTGTGGAAGAAAGTAAACACAAGTTTTTAAGAAAAGTGAAAAAAAGTAATACACAAGTTTTTTTTATTGCTAGAAAATGGGGGAGAGGCCTGATTTTTTAAAGCGTAACACTATAAAATTCTTCTAAGCCCATCTAAATTTTTAGGGGTGTGTTTAATTGAGATTTTGAAGGTTTTAAAAAGTTAAAAATTCATAGAGCTTGATGGAGTTTTAGTTGACTTTCATAAACTCCATGTGAATTCCTTCGATGCCTGATTTCTTAACATCTAAATTACACTAAAATTCTTCTAAATCCATTAAATTCCTTAATTTTTTAAAATACTTTAAAATCTATTTTTAAGGAATACACACATAGTTTTATGGACTACTTAAAATCATAATTGAATACATCCAAATGAACTTCTACGGAAGCAATTCTTAACAAGCTAAGTTGGTTAAAAGTTTTCGCCCTTACACCCCAAGTCCCGTGTTTGAATTCCCCTTGTGTAGTTTAAATGAGTTTAGTGTAAATTGTCCTATCACGTTGCCAAAAAGACAAATAATTCCAAACGGTTATTCAATTACAACTACTTTCTTTTTCAAATCCATTCTAGAAAAAAAATTCTCAGAACCCCTTCTTGTTCATTTGTGCCCGAAATTTATAGTGTTTTCCAGATTCCTCTATCTAAATTTCTAAAAATATTTTATGAACTAGCAACCGGTTCATTTGGAAGTGTCGCATCCCAATTCTATGCAGCTGTTTGATGCAGTTTTAAAAATGCAGAAATAATCTCTGCCACGCACACTTGCAGTGCAGTGGAAAGTGTGTAGAACTCATACTGCTGCTCTATGCTGTATGCGAGCATCATTCTTCCCTTGAAAACTTAGAAATATGTATCAACATAGTTATTAGTAACAAAAACCAGAAGCACACCCAACTGTTTGTGTAATTATGCAAGTTGTATTCTTTCTAGGGACATTCACCATTCATCCTTTCCCCTTTGGTATTTTAGTGCTTTCTTTTCCTTATAGTCACATTAACGGTTCTTTGTTAATTTGTGTTCAAGCAGAGTTTTGAAAACTCAGGATTTGCCAGGAACACTCCCACGAGAAATGGTCAGGCTCAAATATCTGCAAGTAATGTAAGAACTTGGACGTCATGCAAATGATCTGTTCTTTCACATCTAAGTTGCCTGTATGTCTGTTTCCAATGAGACAATGGCTAATTTCTTTCATTCTTCTTCAGCGACCTCACCCGGAACTACCTGAATGGTACCATCCCTCCAGAATGGGGCTCCCTTCGACTTGTCAACATGTACTATCTTTCTTGCTCTGCATCTATGCATATGCGATATTCTCATTGTATTAGAATTTTTTTTTTTTTTTTTTCAGTTTTCTTCAGCCATTTATTTCTTAAGCTATGAAGCTATTCCATGGGCGTTGTTCCTACTTCATATTTGTGTCCCTTCAGTGGTCATGAGCCATTTGAATCATAAAAACTGAATCTAATTGTGACATACGAGTTGTGTTGCAGCTCCCTTATTGGAAATCGTTTGACAGGTCCTATCCCGGTAGAGTTTGCAAACATCACCACCCTGCAGAGTTTGTGAGTGATGATTACACATTTTTTATGGATATCCTTAGGGATCTTTCAAAATCAATGGATCAATGGAATTGATTTTGTTTTGTGTAGGGACCTCAGTTCCAACTTTCTCTCTGAACCTCTCCCTGAGGAGCTTGGGAATTTCCCACACATGGAAAGAATGTAAGATTGTCTTATTCAAATTTTACTGTGATTAAAATATTTTGGTTTGTTTGGATTTGCTTCTCTGTAGACAGATGCTGTATTTTTCACCAGTAAATCATCCACTTCCTAATTGTTATATCTGTTTTATTGTTAGGCTTCTTTCTTCAAACAAGTTCACTGGGTATTTGCCAGATTCATTTGCAAACCTTATCACATTAAAGGACTTGTAAGCTTCTGTTGTTCTTTTGTTCTTGAAGATTTCCTAAGCACCCAACTAAATTTTTTTCTGAATTCTGAGACTAATTGGAACTATTTCCCTTTTGCGAATCACTATGCAGTCGGATCGGTGACACGAACTTTTCTGGGGAGATACCTAAATTTATTGAGAAGTGGACAAATCTTGAAAAACTGTTGAGTGTTTTCCTTTTGGGTGTCATCTTTTCTGCTACTTGATTCTCAATATCATCACTAATTCAAATGTTATGACTTGTTAAAACAGTGTGATTCAGGGTAGTGGTTTGACGGGGAAAATTCCTGGCGGCATCTCTCTGTTGACAAGCTTAACTGACTTGTTAGTATATCTCGTATCTGTTTATAAGTACAGAACAATTAGCAATATAGTAGTTTCTGTTCATATCTCAATTTTGACATGCAGGAGAATTACTGACTTGATTGGACCTGAATTAAACTTCCCTCAGCTCGACAATATGAAAAACATGAGGACACTGTGAGTTAAGGCTTCCATGAAACACAATTTTTCTCCGTACATGAAATCTTTTTGCAACCTCAAAGTTTTGGTGTTTCTGTTACAGGATGTTGAGGAGTTGCAATATTATCGGAGGGCTACCTCCATATCTCGGGCAAATGCCTAAATTGAATACTTTGTAAGTAGAAACGTCTCTGTCCCTATTTTTACCGTCTTCAGATAAAAAAAATTTCTTCCAGATGTTATTATACTGACTAAGAGATTATTACAATGACTTGGACGATGTTGGAGGGACTTTATGTTTCTGTATTTATAAAACCATCTCAAAACCTTGGGGATAAAGCCAAAAAATTTTAAGTCATAACCCAACAATTCTGCTCTCCTAAGATCCTTGTTTTGAGAACATGTAAGGATTAAATATATATTAGCCACAAGATTATGTTAATTTAGATCCAAAGGCTTAAAATATTTGACAACTTAAAATAATGACCTTAAGGAGAGCAAGACTCCATAACCCAAAAACTACTTTTCTCCTCCAATTTTAGCCCGAGATTATTAAATAATGACTTTAGCCTAATTTTTTATTTTCGGTAACTTTTAAAAAAAAAAAAAAAAAATTTACGTGTATTATCCTAATTTATTTTTATGAACAATTTAATTTAAAAATATTCAAATTATGATAAGTTATCATAAAAATACATAGGTATTTATAATGTTTCAAGTGAAATTTGATTTAAATTATTTTAAACGTTAGATTTAATTTTCAGCCGTCCAATCTTTTTTTTAATTTAAAGCTTACATTTTAAGTTTTATCTCATGGGTTGGAGATGGTCTAAAAGAACAGCTTTTGAGATGGCATTTCCCTCTCGGAGAGCATATCTAAACTGCATTTGCAATTTGTTTGTGCAGAGACCTCAGCTATAATAAGCTGACCGGAGAAATTCCAAGCAGCTTCGCTAGTCTAGCAAATGCGGATTATATGTAAGCAATTTGAATGACCAATCTAGTCTTTATCACACGAAATTCACGCAGACATTCTTCATGGTTTTGTACTTTTGTTACACCCCAGCCTGACAAGCTGGAAATTTATTTAATAACAATTTGACTTGCACAAAATTCAGACAGAGGGTTTTGCCACACTGCAGTCTGACGAGCTGGAAGTGTTACTAATCACGCTTACTATAATTAAGGACTCACAGGTTAAGCTAGAACAAAACGTTAATACTCGAGCGAATAACTGACACTAGATGGTCACAATGAAAACAAACAAACTAAGAAAACTGATTAACCACTACCATTGAACTGACTTGCATATTCATCTTGATTTTAGTTAGACCAAGTCGGATTTTGATTCAAATATGGTCACCAAAAGTACTGAAAACAACACCAAAATTGACATGAGATGATATTGGTAAATTTGTTAGTCATAATATATCTCAACAGTTAACTCTTAAAAGTTAAATTGATCTTTTAGCTTACATCCAGAACATTTGCTTGAGTTAGTTCTCATATTTTCCCTTTTCATCTAACAACATCTATGAAATCGAAGAGAGAGAATGATAAATTTTTACCTCTGGGTGTGTCGACTTGAAGATCACAGGTTTGATCTTTGGATCCGCTCGTGTGCAGCCTTAATCTCGCGAGATTGCTGGCGAGACTAAGAATGGCGAGAGAGGGAATCGGCGGGGGATTTGACGGAAATTACAGAGTGAGAAAAGGGAGGGATGGGAGGATTTGATGGATGGTTACAGAGAGAGAGTCGGGAGAGGAAAAGAGGGAATGAAAAGGGGATGGAAACGGACGGAAAAGTAGTCGAAGCAGTGCAATCCACGATGATTGACGAGTGGGCCCCCTTCCACTGTGCAAAGCGGTGGCAATTTCGTAAATAAATTGAAATTTCCACTCTGAACGGCAGTAAAGAGGCGGTGGCAGTTTTGTGAATAAAGTGAAATTCGGCTCAAGTCACTATTTATTTGTACACTGCAATTTCTTCCTCTTCTATAGACTAAAGTAATTTTTATCAGCACGGAAAGATTTTATTAAAATCTCAATTTTTTAGCTTATACACCTTTCTAGTAGTTCATAATTTCATTGCATATTAAGTCTATAGTATACCCCTTGGATGTGTCTTTTAGATGCAAATACTGATATAATGCACTCAAAGTTGGCAATTCAAATTTTCAAATCTTACTCATGAAATTCGTAAGGATAAACACTACATTCTTGACTAAATTTTTTCTATATCCATTATGTCTAGATTCTTAACTGGAAACTTGTTGACTGGATCCGTGCCTACTTGGCCGACAGGCTACGTGTAAGCTTCTCTTCCAAATGCTACTCTTTTGTTACTTAGTATGGAATTTTATGCTGACCGGACCCATGCCTGCTTGGCGGATGGGCAATATGTAAGCTTTGCTTTCAAATGCTTCCCTCTAATAACTTAGTAAGGTATTTACGACGTCTACAGTTAGAAATTTCTGCTATATACTACTCGAATTGATATAAAAAACGGCGGTCAATCCATCTTATTTCCTACTCTTTAATTACTTAGTAAGCTATTTCTATTCGCATATCAAATCTGTAAATTAGTTTACATAGTAGCCGTTTTTGCGCAGTGATCTTTCATTTAACGTGTTCACCATATGGAACACAAGTTGTCAATCAAAGGGCTTGTAAGAATTTCTTCATTAGCTTGAGTTTTGTTGTTTATGTCTGGTGGAACAAGCTTAACTTTTCAACTTGTGATTCTACAGGAACTTGTTTGACAGCAATAGTTCGTAAGTTTCAAATTAATCCTCGAAAAAGCATTAATCTATAAATTTAATTGGCATTCCAACTGTGTATTTCTTAGTTTTTTGTTTTGTAACTTATTCACATTTATGATGTTATCTTGCTGACCTTTTTTTATGGACCCTGCATTATTATATGAGCAGAGGAGGTTCATGTTCCACAGCTGCAAAATGTCCAAAAAGTAAGTTGGGATCCCACATGTTGCTGCAAGATATATTTGTTCTGATGTTCTTTTGTTTGGGGGAGTGGGAGATCACTTGTAAGGCCATACTCTGTTATTTTTATCTTATGACCCACAACCACAAGCAGCTTTACATTCATTCATCGTTCTTCCGAACATTCCCATGCAAAAGGGAATTAAATATTGCCATTCTTTTGTGTTCAGAAGTTGCTTCAGTGGCTGCTAATCTCTGTTTACTTTTTTTTTTTTTTTTTTTTTTGTAGCTATGTACTCCTCCTTTCATATTAATTGTGGTGGTAAAGAAGTAACCATTGAAAATAAAACATATGAGGATGACACATTTTCAGCTGGACCTTCATCATTTTACCAGAGCAGAACAAACTGGGCATTAAGCAGCACCGGTTACTTCCCTGATGATGACCACCCTACGGACAACTTTATATGGACTAATGACTCTATACTCTCTATGGCCAATCCTCAACTTTACATGAACGCACGGCTTTCTCCCATCTCTCTAACTTACTTTGGGTCTTGTCTGCAAAATGGAATATACACCGTAAAACTCCATTTTGCAGAGTTAATGTTTAGAAACGGAAACACATATAAAAGCCTGGGAAGGCGAGTATTTGATATTTACATTCAGGTAGAAAGCTGCACTATCATTGTATTTTGATTGTCTAATTTTGGTCAGTTCAAATTTTTACTTTGACAATTATGAAATGTTAGGTAACTAAATTCGTAACGTTGCAGGATATGCTAGTACGGCAGAATTTCAATATTATGGATGACGCTAGTGGGTTTGGTAATGTAGTCATACTAAAGTTCGTCGCTATTGTAACTAGTCGTACCTTGAAGATCCATTTCAATTGGGCTGGCAAAGGGACGACAGGCATCCCTGTTGGAGGAGTCTATGGTCCTCTTATATCAGCTATTTCGGTGGAACGTGCAGGTAAGTTTACACCGCTCTGAACTTCTTACTGATATTTGTCCACCGCTGGGAGTTTTCAGCGCATCAAATATCATTTTAGGCATTAATATTTCAACACAATTTATAAGAGATCCGAATCTAGTTAGTTGTCACTTAATACTATGGTCTAGTGATATTCCTCTTCACATGTAAGTGAGAGGTCTTGGGTACGGATCTCCTGAATGGTGAGTTCACAACCGATTTATTGCCCACCCCTGTAGATATATCATTGTATAAGAGAAAGGTAAATAAATTAAAAAAGAGAAATCCGACTCTAGTTTAGCAGGGTTCTTCCTTTCTTCTTCTGTTTCTTTTCCTTGTTTGAGTCAAGAGTTTGAAGGAATCTTCTCTGTTCAACTTTCCTATCACAAAAATGCAACAAAATTCAACCTTGAGGGTATTTTAAGTAGTTACAGGAACTTATCCTTTTCACTGAAGGAGCCATAAAATATGACAGCAGAATTATGTCATTTACGATCCACTTGTGTTTGGGTTCTGCCAAATAATTGAATCTTTTGTTTCTTTGTGCATTGGGTAGCGGGTTGGATAATGCACTTTCTTATCTATACATTTACATTTACTATCTTACAAAGATGATCTTCTTTTTGCAGTCGACAATAGCTCAACAAAAAATGGAAGTAGCATATCACCTGGTGTAGGTGTAGGTGCAGTGGTTGGATTGTGGCCGGAGGAATCTTTATTATATTAGTGATACTTAGTATTCTTTGGAGGAGAGGCTCCCTAGGACAACAAAAGACATTGGAGGATGGTATTTGCACTGTTCTTATACTTGTCTCTTCTTTTTAGTAAATTAGGAAACAAAAAACACCCTAAAGCTATATACGTTTATGTTTATGTTGAAACCCATGATGCTCCTACAGTATATGTTTATGTTGAAACTCATGATGCAAGTGTGCAGCGAATAGCTTTACTTGTTAAATTCTAGGTCTTGAATCAGTCACGGTGCTCACAGAACATTAAGAATAAGAAATGCTATCATTCTGAAAGTTCTTTTAGACACAATTTCTTATGTGAGTTTACTTCTTACACAGATTTGAAGGGTGTGGACCTGCAAACTGGTAAGTTTACATTCAAGCAACTCAAAGCTGCCACAACCAACTTTGACAAAGCAAATAAGATTGGCGAAGGTGGTTTTGGTTCCGTTTATAAGGTATTCTTTTGAACCAATAATTTCCATGTATATATTTGTTTCATATTTTTTAATTTGATTAATAATAGTCATCCTAATTAAAGTTAATTTCTCAAATGTAGGGCATTCTAGCAGATGGCACCATGATTGCTGTTAAGCAGCTTTCTTCCAAATCAAAGCAAGGGAATCGTGAATTTGTGAATGAGATAGGCATGATTTCTGCTTTGCAACACCCTCATCTTGTTAGCCTCTACGGATGTTGTATTGAAGGAAATCAACTATTGCTTGTCTACGAGTACATGGAAAATAATAGCGTTGCTCATGCTTTGTTCGGTAAGTTCATTTGGTTCATGCAAATGGGTATAATAAATCTTATGCACACAAATTATATATGTTGTTAGTTATGGCTAATTTTGATTAATTTGAAAAATTGAAGGGGCAGGAGAAAGTCGTTTGAAGTTGGATTGGCCAACAAGGCACAAGATCTGCATTGGTATAGCGAGAGGTCTGGCTCACCTCCATGAGGAATCAAGATTGAAGGTCGTTCATAGAGATATAAAGGCAACTAATGTGTTGCTTGATAAAAATCTAAACCCAAAAATATCTGACTTTGGATTAGCCAAACTTGATGAAGAAGATAATACACACATTAGCACTCGTATTGCTGGAACTTTGTAAGTGCCTATGTTTTTACTTTGTTTACTTTTGTTTTGATTCTTTCGTCCCTAACCAAACGGAAAGTTTTCTACCTTACGAAAATTTCAACCAAGATCTTTGATGTTAAATAAACTTGAAGGCCAGATTTGTCATATAGCTATTGTATTGTTGTTAAACTTTCAATTAAAGTATAAAAACCCTGCTTTCTAAAGCTTGGTATTATTTTAGAATTCTTTTAGCTAAATATGGGGGAAATGATTTTATGATTTTGCAGTGGCTATATGGCACCTGAATATGCAATGCGGGGTTATTTGACTGATAAAGCAGATGTTTATAGTTTTGGAATTCTTGTATTGGAGATTGTTAGTGGGAGGAACAACACAAGTTACCGAACAAAGGCAGAATGCTTTTATCTTCTTGATTGGGTAACTTGAATCTAACTGCATCCTAATTGAACTTCAAATTTTGTTGATGCTATTAACCCTAGATAGAAATCGACTTATATTCCGCGGGTAAAAGTTTTAAAGATTATCCAAAATCAGGTCATCATACTATTGCTTCATTTGCTATTTATTTTGTCTATAACACCAAAAAAAAAGGTTATTAGTGTCCTTTACTATATATAGCTTATACATGTCAAGGTTCTCGAATCAATAAAGGTTCGTTCGTGTTTCTAGGCAACTCTCCTTAAAGCGCAAGGGAATTTGTTGGATCTAGTGGATCCACGGTTGGGTTCAAACTTCAACAAAAAAGAGATGATGGTTACAATCAATGTGGCTCTCCTTTGCTCTAGTGTCACTTCAGCAGTTAGGCCTACTATGTCTTCAGTTGTGAGCATGCTTGAAGGCAGGGTTGCTGTTCAGGAGCTAGTCTCAGATCCAAATCCCTCAAGTAATGAGATCGATGCGATGAGGAACCATTTTCAATCCTATTTAGAAGGGAGTGCAGGTGAGAGCCAGATACAAACCGAGTCAATTGAAGAGCCAAGCACTATTTCATATGCGTCTGGTCATGATCTTTATCCAATCAATCCTGATTCGAACTACAGAGAGAACATAAATAAGAGAAATTGGGAAACTGTTTGATTGATGATTGTCAACATATTATTTTTGAAAGAAGGATAGTTATTTTTTTAAGAGTTTATAAATATTGGTGAAATAAGAATTAAAGAAGTTTCCAGCATAATAATTGTTAAGTGTGAAATCAACGGTTTCCATGAACTTGTCTTTTTAGTTCTTGTAATTTTGATAAAACTGATTTTCTTATTTTATAACTGCAATATTGGATCAACGTGCTTTAGCATAGAAACTGAAATATTTAGTCATTGTGTCCATGATAAGATTGCATTACAACGACATAATTTAAAACTAAACTTTTGTCAGACGTGTATTTAACTCTTTGTAATTTTACTTGTCAGTTAAACTTTGGCATCGCTGATAATTAAATGTTTTCGTGCTCAAACAAAAGTGAGCTACAAAACAATGTGCTTTGGTACTTGTTATGCAGTATCAGTATGTCTTCGGAAGGCATGAGGTAGTAGATTTAGATGGTTAAAGGTCAAGGGGATGAGATGAAGTCACCTTGGCTAGCTTTTCTCGATCTCCAACGATCAAAATGGAACTTAAAACTTTTTGTACAACTTTACGACTCTTCAAAATCTAAATTCTAAAAGAAAAATGTGCATTCAAAAAATTGAAGATCACATTGCGATCATTGTGGGAATCAACATTAAAATGAACTTACTATGCAACAAGAGCCCGAGAATGATATTTTCACCAAACTTTGTGTTGGAACACCCATTGTCCCACATCGGCTAGGAGGGAAGAAGGAAGACAGTTTAAATAGAAATACCCATCTCTAACTAATATCGAGGCCTTTTGTGATAAAACTCCACACCTAAGGACAATATCGGTGTTGTTGGGGTGGGCCCTCGGCCCGTCGACCTGAAAAATTCTACATGGTATCAGAACCAAGGGACGGGCCCGTACTGCCACGTGATTGGGTGGGTCCCCGTTTGGCCCCGACCGATGGGTGGGTCCCGACATGGCTCCACGTAGGCCAAAGATATAATGTGATTGGGTGGGTCCCCATTTGGCCCCACGCAATGGGTGAGTCCCGACATGGCTCCACGTGGTGGGTCCACATGTGACCCATAACTAATACCCCACACCTGAGAATTGTGCAGGTGGGTAGGCCAAAGATGTAATGTGATTGGGTGGGTCCCCATTTGGCCCCACGCAATGGGTGAGTTCCGACATGGCTCCACGTGGTGAGTCCACATGTGACCCATAACTAATACCCCACACCTGAGAATTGTGCATGTGGTAAAGTAGATTTCACCAAGAGTAGTCCAACTTTTTATAAGCCCTTGTAAGGTGGTAAAGTGGATTTCATTATAAAATTAATTTGACAATATGGAGAGTAGTCCAACTCTTTATAAGCCCTTGTAAGGTTTTGGATAATTATGTTTACATAACTTTTGTCTCTGTACAACCTTCAATTTTGTTCAAAGTAAAATAACGTGAGAGTTACTAGACCCATCCTAATGTCCTATTTCCCACCAGCATTATAATCCCACCACCATAAAAAGTTAAAAAAAATGAAATGTTATTTCTCCACCCACTATTATTCATTAAAATTTGAAATGTTAGTTTCCCAACAACGAAGTCTTCTTTGATGATAATCTACCAGCAAATGAATGATTGTCCATTGTTGTATGATAATCTACCAGCAAATGGACAAATTTGTAATTAAAAATTTCATTAAAAAGTGGGTAGGAAGATATATATAACACTGACGCGGGAATAACAATACTCAATAACACTTATATCCATATTTATATTTACTATAAAGGACTTATACTAGACTCTTTAACAAAATCTTAATTTCTTGTACACCCAATTTGAATTTCCACTAAAGTTTCGATACAATAAAACATGTTCATCAAGTACGCATTCTCACACCTTTAATTACCCCCCCCCCCTTCTCTCTCTCTCTCTCTCTCTCTCTCTCTCTCTCTCTCTCCCCCAACGTTCATGAACAAACACAACTGAAGAAGAAATCGGCATCAACGATGACTATGAAGACAAAAAGGCACGTGTTTCGTGTGTTTTTACAAATTTTGACTTGATTCGTCAATTAACACACTACTTTACCCAAACTTCATAAAATTTGATCACAAATTCAATGAGGATGTCGACTCGACAACATAACTTCTAAAGCAACTTGCGAGTGCATCTATTTTATTGCAACCTTGGACCCAAGTTTGCCAGGCGTTAGAAAAGTTAAAAATTCACTACCAAAAGAAGGCCGATATGTGCCTATTTATTATTGGATTCCAACCGTCCATAGGAAATAAGTATTTATACTTTATACATACATCTTTTCATTCTTCAGAGCCTACTCTTGTTGAAGTTGTGGCTGGGTCAGATTCCATGACCTCTGCTAATCTCCGAACGTAAAAGCGTAAAGAAAAAGTTGGAAATGTGCGTAATTGTTTGAGTAAAAAGTGAAAGCAAATCAGATTATCAGATGCAATATGTTTTATGATCCTCTAGATAATAGGTTGTACAGAAACACAATTTGATTAAGTAAATTAGAAGTTGTTTTGGGTGTCCAGAGAAAAGCGAAAAAAAAGTTGGGCGTATGAAAAAATGTGTGTCACGAGACAAAATTTGGTGTAAACAGAATTTTTTCCAAGGTTTTTTCTTTCACATATTTACAGTTTCAAACCCCTCATCATAGCACGTATTGCTGTTGGGTTTTAGTTGTGGGCCACCCGTTTTATTACCTTAAAGGAAGTTATAGTTCCACTATAATATCAATTCCCAATAGGAAGAGTATCCCAACTTCTTAGGATATGGAATGTCAAATGTTAATTTGATAGCTTTGTCGTCAGATTTTCTCTTCCTCCAGTCAATCTAATTTTTCATAATAATATTTGTGGGATCCATTTTTTGTAAAAAAAAAAAAAATTAATTAAAATAATAATTTATAATTTATAATTAGTGCATTAAAGGATCCACACATGACACAACACAAAAATTACAAAAAAAATAATTGAGAACACTTTTTCTCATATCAGTTGAAGCTTCTTCCTACCTTCAAATTTGATTGTGTGACATTTCATTTAAGAAATGACATCTCTTTTGAAAATGCTCTTATAAGTCTTTGTAAAGTTTTCCTTTTTACCGATGTGAAAATCTCACCTTCATATTCTTAAAAAAAAAAATGAAAAGGGTTTCAAAACTTTACATTTTAACCAAAAATCATCTAATAACTTTATTTAATGACAAAGACAAAGGGAAAAAAAAAAACATAAAATATAACACATGTGTGCCCAACGCGCGTTAAGTTTCATAAACTGTTAAGTTTCATAACAATGTAGTACCGTTAAATTTCATAAACAGTGTAGTACCATTAAGTTTCATAAACAGTTTAGTACCGTTAAGTTTCATAAATAGTGTAGTATCGTTAAGTTTCATAAACAATGTAGTAAGTTTCATAAACAATATATGTGAGGACGAGTGGATTCGGCTCATCAGTTTTTTTTTGTTTTTTTTAATATTAAAATTATGTCTTTTTCATTAAAATTTAAGTTCTTTTGTCCTTTTTATTAAAGTTTAAAGGTTTTTTATTAAAATTTAAGTCTTTTTCATTAAATAAAGTTATAGCATAATTTTTTATTAAAATAAACTTAATCCAAATTATTTTCACTAAAGTTCCCAAAAAAAAAAAAAAAGAGTAAGACGGTTAGGTGAGCCGTCCGGTTTGACAATTTAGCCCCTACAACATGTGACTCAGTTGCGTGAGGGTTTCAATTTTTATTGATGTTGATAAACTGGACCCTTTGAGATAGCAATTAATGGAACATTCAAGAAAAAAGACCCCAAAGTCTTTTCTAAACTCTATCGTGATAAATCATACAAGTATACAAGGTATAAAGATTAGCCAATTGCTCATCAGAAACAACTATGACAGAAGCAAGAAAAGCAATAAAGAAACAATAATAATACTAAAGTCACCCGACTACTTAGTTCAATGTTTAGTTATCAACTAATATAGAGAAATGGTCACGTAGTATTATGATTTAGTGATATTTCTCTTTATTTGTAAGTAAAAGGTTTTAGATTCAACTTTGGTTAAAGGCGAATTTGAACCACATTATTCCTAATCCATTGTGAGGATTAGTTCAATCTCTCATCCCTTTAGTGTAGATAATATCGCTTGTTTTAAAAAAACTAATAAAGAGAAATGATAAGGAGATCTTCTCAAAAGTAAAACTCTCTACCACCTCATATTTTTGCACAATGTTTTATAATGTTGGCACTTTAAGCTAAGATTTCAATTCTTCCATGTTTCAGTAGTAGTTAGTATATTGTTTCATGGAGCTAAGGTCCAAAATAAGGAAGAAATAGGTGTTTCCACGACTTTATCGCCTAGTCAATTATGTTCCACTTAATCCATGTTTCATGGCCACATATCTTTCTGGGGATATTGACGTTAAACTGTAAGATGACAGAGAATTCATGAAGAGTCATACTTTTAGAGAGTTCTTTTAACATTTCTCATATGAAACATGATGTGCTAATTTCTGTGAATAAATTAGTTAATACAATTACAATGGCAAATTCTTATAACGAACATTAATCCGTAACTAATGCTCATGTATATGTGAATTTATGGAAGGAAAAAAAAAATGAAGAATCATGAAAGTTCGCATTGCTATTCAAAATGACCATGAAATTACAAATCCGAAATTCCTAACTTAGGGTTTTAATTAATATTTATTATTTGGTTGAGAGTTAGGAACTTAAATCGGGTATAATCTTATTACGGACGATTTTTCTATATTAAATAATTGTTAATTATAAGGTAATGCAAAATTTATCTTGATAAAATAGGCAACACTTCTACTGTGCCACTGATAATTTTTCTATTGGTGAATTGATAAGCTTCTCATGGGATGTCACTGCGTAACTAGGAATGTAATATTTGGTATATTTATTACGAGATAAATTTTGTGATTGATGAGTTGGCCAACCTAAGCCTCCCTCATCCTTTGGGTCCGATCTACTTCTTCTTCTTGCAGCAGTTATTATTGTCTGATATTTCTAGAGTCTCTCAATCTCAAAACATAATTTTGTAATTTCTCATTTGTCGGGCTATTAGCCCCTTTGTTTAACCCAAAAAATAAAATAAATGATTATAGTTTCTACGTATCTTTTTCTTTTTTAAAATTTTTATTTAAAGCTGTCATTTAATTCCTTTTTTATTTATTCGACCCAAAA